GCAATGTATTGAGGCTCTGTCTCTTAAAAAAAAAAAAAAATTAGCCAGGTATGGTGATGTGTACCTGTAGTCCCAGCTTCTTGGGAGGTTGTGGTGGAAAGATTGCTTGTACCCAGGAGGTTGAGACTATGGTAAGCTGTATTCGCACCTCTGTACTCCAGCCTGGGCAATGGAGTAAAGACTGTGTCTCTTTAAAAAAAAAGTTGATGACAGAAATACGCAAGGAAGGGTGCACCTCTCCTTCTGGATAATGTATTTCATTCCAGATATCAAAACTATCTCCAGCTGGATTACATACATATTAGAAGAAAGTTGAATGTAAATGTGGTAGTGACATTTTGGGCTTTTAATGTCTTAGTTTCCTTAGTAGCAAAAAGAGTTTTTAAAAATCCATGTTGAAAAAGAGGGAAAAAGTTAGGACTTGTTACTAATCTCGTGGCTGAATAATTAAGTGTGCCTAATTCTGAAAGTAGCAAGCTAAATTATGCAGTGCCAAAAGTGACAACTCTTATACCTACACCATCCCATCTACAGCGGCATGATTTTAGCTTTATAGCTAAAAAACGCTGCCAGAAAACCTAATAAAAGGAAGCAAAAATATTTCTGTTTATATCAAGCTGCCATTTGAGAAAGATTTTAAAATATGTTCTTTCCTATGTGTAAATCTTACAGCAGATGCATAATTAAAACCCCAGTGGAGAGTTTCCATTTAATCTTTTCAAAGTTAACTGATAAACATCCTTTAGGATGTGAGGTGATGGGTTAATTCTCTTTGGATTGTTTGGAATATGTTTGAGCTGGAATACTGTCTTCAAGAACATTGTTTCGTGCTAAAAGAGCACAAGATGGTATCTTCAGGAGTTCATACAATCACAGGAGGTGCAGACAACATGCCAGAGGTCACACATGCATCTATGATGAGTGATGTTTGTCTTAGATGTTTATTAATTGGGGGAATGAATAAATGAATACATTCACATTAAAGCAAACTTGATTTCAACCCCTAGGGAATATGTCACATAGCATAAATGGGAGAAATAATAATTACCCAGGATTTCAGTTCTGTGTAAGCAATCAGTATGAATAATTTAGACTACAAAGTGGATTTTTATTTCGCTTGAGCTATTCAGATTAACTTTCTACACAGTCTGAATGGCTGCTGAATAATCACAGGCAAAATTTTCCACTGGTACTGCACTGTGTAGACACACGTGTATCTACACGATTGCAAACTGCCCAGCTGTGGATATGGGGCCCTGTTCAAACCAAATGTCAGGACAAACATTCTACTTCATCGTGCTGTTCCATGTAACCTTGAGTACACACAGCCGTACCTAAACCTGTCATTACGTCTTCCACCAGGTGAAAGGCCATTCCTGTTCCTTCTTCCCCTCCTCTATACACATGTGCTCTCAAGAGTGTGTGTGTGCACGTGCCCGTGCATGTGCCTACACACATACACACACTGGTGCAAAAAAGGGCAGAAAGAAAGTGACTTCTGTCCTTAGACCACAGTTTGCCAGAAGCTCTCATACTTGCTAGTGCCCCATCTCTGCCCTTTAGGCTGGCTCTTGCCTGTCTAGCTATCTAAGACTTGCCAGATGTTTCTAACTTGTCTGGTCTGTAATATCTGTCTTATCCTTCAAGTTTGCTCTGGACTTAATCAGTTGATGACGTGACCAATAGACCAGCACACCAGTCCCTGCCCTGGACACACACACACACACACACACACACACACACACACACTCTTACACTCAGATAGACAGACATTATTAAATACTTCAATCTCAAACAAGAACGTTCCCACCAATTATATGCATGAAATTGGTGGATATTGCACAACTTGGTTTCTGGACCTAGCTGAACCCCTCATTAACTGTGTGACCACTGACAAGTCCCCTAACCCTGTGCCACATGAGATTGGACCAAAGGTCCCCTTCTTGTTCTAATCATCTTCAGTGAGGATGGCCAAGATATGTTGCTCATAAATGCTGTGATCCAGCTGCCCATGTTGGGATATGCCTTAATCTCTGCCATGTAGCATAAGCTTTAACCTTTCAAAATACAGCCTGATACACACAATCATGTTATGGAATGAATGGAAGGAAAGATTTCCTATACTAAAGTCTAGATGAACCATATATCTGGGTCTACACAACACACACACACACACATACATATGTCCTTTTGATTAGGCAGTATAAATAACTAAACCAAATCATTTTGTTCCCCTGAATTCCACAGCCCTGTATGAACCATATACACTGTGAAACTCATCAAATAAAACGGAGTACATGCTAATTGTCCTCTTCATTGGATAAAGAAGCAGATAAAGAATTCTGACTGCCCATTTTTTGTGGACTGAGCTTTGGCTCCCTGATCTGTTGAACCCATAAAAGCATCAATAATAATAATGATGGTCTCTGAAGATTCAGGCCATTTAAGAGAATGGAACTATGTAAGCAGAAGAGAAACTGACCTGTGGAGATCTTTACTTAAACCTCATCCAAATGCATTTTGAAAAGAGAAAGCTGAAATGCCAATACGCTACTTGGGGATTCGGCGGAACTTATCTGACTGATGGAAGTGACCAATTTGAACCACTGACCCCAGAATATCCCAGCAGCGGCAATAACCAGCACTGTGTGGCTGTCTTGGCATCCCCACAGAGGGCTGTTTCAACCCAGGGCTGTACACGGGCTGGTTTGAATGTTTCCCCGCAGATTTTGGAAGCAACGTGCTGGGTCACTCGTAACATAATCACATGCTTCAGTGTAGCCCTCCTACATTGCTTGCCTACATCTGAAAACACAAATCAAGAAAGAGAATACAGTTCCTTTCCACTTGACTAAGGAACAGCCAATCCTGCCAGTAGACTAAAGGCTGGGGCATGGAACAATTTCCCAACACACTGACTTGATTTTGTGTAAATTACTGAAAGAGAAGCTTTAGAAGCTGTGGCTGGGCTCAGAATCAGTGCCTCCAAAGGGGTACCGAACGACAGATTGATGGAGCCCATTAGAGAGGCACAGAGACCACAGGCCATTGGAATGGGGCTTTATTTGGATGGACTCATGGCCTAAAAAGGAAAGGGACACTGCCAACAGCTTTCCCTTTAGCCTGTGGGTTCCATTAGGAAGCCAGAACATGTCACTGGGAAAAAGTGTTGTGGCCACCCAATATGTGCACAGGTGCCTCCAGGTGGAAGAAAGGGAAAGGGTGTGTTTACAAGAGGAAGAGCACAAGTCAACAATGAGCTATGGATGCATGATGTCATCCTCCAGGACTAAGCATCCTTAGTACTTTTAAAGCATTTAAGGAAAAAAAAAAAACAAAAAAAACTCTAGTTGCTATAGCAACTTGATGCAGCTCTTAAAAGGGGATTTTTGAGGGGGTCATTTTATATCTCCTATCACCATAACAACATGATATAGCTTTTTAAAGGATATTTTTATCCAATTTGTGTGTGCCTTGGACGGGGGCCATATTTGCCTTTTCTATTTAAAATAATCAGATCAAGCATGACACATGAAAAATCATTGAAGGCAAGGAAGTGCTTTCATAGACTATACATATACACTTAGAGAGACATCTCTAGCTGCTCATATGCTGCACATGGAGGCAGCCTCTCTCCCTTCCTCCAACCAGCCATCTGCTATGGCTTATCCTGGTCAGTTACAGTCCATGCCTCTGTATCTGAACTGGCATACCAAACCACTCCAGAACGTGTGTCTATGAAATCCCTCACTTCTCAAGCCCAGCAAATCCAACCCCCTCCTCCAAAACTGCACAGGAGACAGTGCCTTGGGGTGACTAGAGGTGTGACCAGCCAAGTGCCTTCTTCCATCCTGGGATTCAAAGCAGGAGTTGGGGACACACAAAGCCTTGTCAAGGTGATAAGCATGCATTTCTGCTGCACTCTATACAGGTGAGTGGGGGGGGGGCTTTGTTTCACATGACACCCAGGGAAAGTGGGGGATGGGAAAAGCGAGTGAAAGGAGAGGAAGAAAGAGGAATGAAGGGGTGGATGGAGAGCAGGGGTGGCTCCAGAATTTCTCCACAGGAGCTCAGAGGCAGCAGTCTGGCCACACAGAAAGGGGCGGGGGCTTGAAGGACTCTTTACACAGCATTCTTCATAAGGTTGAGAAAACGTAAACTGTTTATATCCAAAAAAAGGGAGAAGACATGATGGAAAGAATAGGGGAACTATCACTGCTCCCAGCTACCCCTTGGTACCACTAATGGTTGGAAAAAGTGGCAAGGGAACAAAGAAACGGTCAAGAAATTGGAGAAGGGGCTGGGAGTTGGGGGAGAACACAAGGAAGGGAGGCAGAACAGCAGCTGAAGTCCTGGCCTCAGGCTAACGGGTTTTACTTTGGGGGGCGGGTAAGGGGCGGTATAGATTGTAGGAGAAGCAGGTGGGAAGGAGATCTAGGGAAAGTGATTCTGGGGCAAGTGGTCACCCTCTCCAGGGTAAAGGAGTTAGAGGCCACTGAGGGGGAAAACACAGGGTAAAAGAAGAAAGGGGGAAGACTATGAAAAGAAATAAAAGCGCTTAGGGTGGAGAGAGAAGGGGCTTTTGAGATCATCCTGGAGAGGAAACTGAGACCCGGGGGTTGTGGGTGGAAAATAGGAAAGAACCGGTGGCCGTGGCACGTATTCTTAGAGGAGAAAACGGAGGCTCACAGAGGTCAGGTCACGGAGCCGGCCAGTGTTGGAGCGCAGGCGGCCCGGATTCTCCCCCATTAGGCCACACTGCCAGGCAAACCACCGCGGGGTGAGCGCCAGAGGTGGGCTTTCCTCCGTCACTGAAAGCCGAGAGGGAGACAGAGAGAGAACGGGGTCCGGCGGAGAAGAGAGGGCGAGACAAAAGTAAGCAAAGGGACATTAGAAGGGAAGGGAGAGCCGAGGGACGCTGACCGAGCGGCCGAGCAGTGAACAGGGCGGCAGGTGAAAGGCACAGAGAGGAAAGACGTGCGGGGGGGCGCGCCGCTCACCTATGGTTGACACCACGGTGCCCACGAAGTAGAAAGCGCCGGGGAAGTCCCAGCGCGGGCGCAGCGCGTCGGCGCGGACGCCGGCGGCCAGCGCGGCCTCGTAGTGCCGGAGGAAGGCGCGCAGCTCCGGCTCGGCCACGCCGTGCGCAGCGCTGAAGTTGCGCAGCGTGGCGCCCCAGCGCGCCCGCGCCTCCGCCTCGCCGGGGCTCTCCAGCGCGGAAAAGACTGTGGCACCCGCCACCAGGTAGAGGCCGATGAGCGCCGCCAGCAGCACGAAGCGGCCGGTGTCCTCGTTGAGGTGCGAGCGGCGGCAGCAGCAGCAGCAGCAGGAGGGGCGCGGCAGGCGGCGGCGGCTACGGCGGGGCGGGGGCCGGGGGCTGCGGGAGGACATGGTCCGGAGCTCAGCCCCGGGGCCGGGGCGGCGCTCGGGGCCCGGGCCGCGACATCCCCCCGGCGGGAGCAGGAGCGTGAGGATGGTGGCCAGGGGTCCGGGGCCGCCGCGGAGCCCCTCGCCGCCTTCCCAGAGCCCGGACGGAGGGGCGCCTCCGCCTCCTCCCCGGCACTCAGGCCACACGCGAGTCCCGTGGCCCAGCGGGTGCCCGGGCAGGGGCGCTCCTCTCCGCGCCCCGACGCCTCGCCGGCTCCCGCGGCTCCTTACCCGCCGCCCTCGGGCGCGGGGCTTCGCAGCTAGGCCCCTGCCGCCCGGTGGCCGGCGTCCGCGGGGCCCCGGGCCTCATACTCCTCTCCAGACAGGCCGCGGGCTGCGGGCGGGGTGGGCCGTGGAGCCCGGGCGCCTAGGACCGGGACTCGGCAGCAGGGCGGGGAGAGAGCCCCCGGGGGCGTCCCATGAGGCGTTCGGGCTCGGCGGCTCCTAGGTGCGGGATCTGCTGGCAGTCCTGCTCCCGCCCCCGGGGCTGAGCTGGCGGCGTCGGCTTCGGAGCCTCGGAGCCGAGCCGAGTCCGGGAAAGCGCTCCTTTCTCAGCTCCAGCCGAAGAGCCGCCCGGCAGGGAGAGGCGGAGTCACTGGCGTCCGGGGCGGGGTGTTGGGGAGGGGTGAGTAGGGACAGGAGGGAGGGGGTGGAGAGTTGGGCTGCCGCGACGCCTCCCGGTGGCTCCGGCGGCACTAATGCGGGGCACCGGAGCAGGTGTCCGACTGCGGTGCGAGCTACCACCTCGCCGGGGAACCTCGTCTTGCTCCTCTCTGCGCTTCGCCTCTGGAATCCCTCCCTTATCTCATGCCGCGGTGAAACTTTGCTCAACTTGGTGGTGCTCTGAGGTCTCCAGGGCTGGAGGCTGCGCGACGCGAATCGCCGACACTGGGTTCTCGGGCGTTAGTCCGAAGTTTAAGTTACCTTCGTTCACTCCTTTGCCCTGGATCGAACCGCAGCGCCAGGACGCAGCGGGTTCCATTGGAAATGGGGAATCGGGGAGAGGCGGTCGCTGGGCTCCGGGCGACCCGGGAACGAGGGCTTTTGCTCCCCCTCCCGACCGAGCGGCGGCCGGCGTCAGCACCGCGGACAGCGCATCGGTGCCGCAGCCGCGGGCGGACGCCGCTAGGGCTGCAGGGGTCCGAGGCGCGGGCAAGGCTGCTCACCCCGCTGCGCTGTGCACCCCAAACCCTCCCTGTTTTCCTTTTTACCTCCTGCGTGTACCCCCCCACCCACCACCCGAGGCAGGTGCGGTCGCTGAAGCAGGCTGCTGACAGGGCGGGGACGCTGCGGAATAGAGACGGGGGAGGAGTCAAGCGCGGGTGGGAGACCAAGGTGCCACCGGGAAAAAGAGCCCAGGCCCGGCGGACTGCTGGGCTCCTTTCGCCACCCCAGCTCACCGACCCCTCTGGCCCGGGGCGGGGAATAAGACCCTGGCTGCGGCAGAGAGTAGAGGAATAGAGGAGGTGTAGGGGAAGCTCACTAGCAGCTCCCCTGAGGCCGGCGCGGGGAACGGTGTGCTATGGAACGCCCCGGGCAAATGGTTGCCCTCCTATGCCCCACCGCGGCAGAAAAAGACGACGGATGCCCCGCGCGGCTGTGGGTGCTTCTCTACTGGACACAAGCCGGCGTTGCCGGTGCCACAAAAGTTCTGGCGAGGAACACCCTCAGTACAGGCGGAAAATCATCCTCTTCGGGCAGCCGGTTCCTTCCCTGTCCTCCCCCTTACTATGGACTGCGGGAAGCAAGACCCTGGTGATGATGTGATGGCAGCAAATAAAAATAATAATGATGACTATACTTAGATATCCCAGGTGGGTGAGCGGTGGCAAAAAGTAGATCCCTGCCCCCTGCCCCCCCACCCATTTCCAGTTAGGGGCTAAGGTCAACCAAAAGTGGTGGCAGCAGCGTCAGTTACGGGTCATAGTACTAAAAGTGTTCCCTCCACTACTCACTGAGCATTTCACGCCTTCGAAACTAGGGCCGGTCGCAGAATGAGAAGTGGGCTGCAGACAGGAGAGCTGTGAAAGCTGAAAGACGTCTGACTTGGGATGTTGATTGTCCCAAACCAGGGTGCTCTGGAGATTTGGTTCTTCCCAGATATGCTGCCTCAGTTTATAGATGGAGCCAGGTACACTTCCCTCTGTGTTAGGGACAGATGGGTAGAAACTCCACCACCACCATGTCAGAACCAGGCTTCCTGGCACTGGATGGCATGTGGCTAGTTTTGCAGGGCTCTCCTTAGAATGGGGCTAGGGTGTCTTTGGGTGAGAGGGAGAGTATCTTATCCACCAAGAAAGCTGGACCTCCCTTTTTTCTGGAGCACTGTAGAAGGTGTATACAAACACAAATTTTTGTTATTGCAGACTATTGCTATTTTTGCCAAAACAGTAAACTCTTTCTCCAAGGCTTTGGCTCCCCTGGACTCTCCACAGATGCTGCCCTAGGCCCTGTTTCCCCAGTACCTCCACTCTTACAGCTTCAGCACACAGTGAGGACAGCCCTGTCATGGACCTTTGGGGCTGGATTCCACTTGGCTGGTCAGCTCTTGACAGAAGCCCTGAGAAGTGTCATTCTAGGAGTTGCCCTGGAGACTCCAGATGTAACTGAAGGGCATTGCCAGGCCTCTCAGAGGCTATCTTTGCTCAGACTCCCCAAGCAAACACAGGGTACTTCGCTGCAGTGTTCTCTGCTTCTGGGACCAGTTCCTTGCCCAGTTGGCAGAAGGCCTGTCTTGTCCTCCAACTTGCTATTCTAGCTTGATTAGCAGCAAATCTCTGGCATCAATCTCGGCTCCGAATGACCTAATCAATTTATGTAATAGGGAAATGATGAGTTCCCTGCACATACGCACGGGGTTTTTAGGGAACCAGCCCCGTGATGAATGCGGCTTTTGCCCACTAAATCAATATTTAAGCTACTGACTTCCAGCTGGCTATGCTCAGAGCCTTTACCTCAGTCCTGAATTGCTGCAATAGACTCCTAAAGGAGGAGGGCTTGCTTCGTGTCTCCCTATTTAGGTACATCCTGCCTGCACCTGCCAAGTCATTGCTGTAATCATGCCCATCTGATGTGATCATGTGATTGACGTATTTAAACCATAGTCTCCAATGGCTCCCCTAAAGCTATAAAAATGTAGTTTTGTTTTGTTTTTTTGTTTTTTTTTTGAGGCGGAGTCTCCCTTTGTCGCCCAGGTTGGAGTGCAGTGGCGCGATCTCGGTTCACTGCAAGCTCCGCCTCCCGGGTTCACGTCATTCTCCTGCCTCAGCCTCCCGAGTAGCTGGGACTACAGGCGCCCGCCACCGCGCCCGGCTAATTTTTTATACTTTTAGTAGAGACGGGGTTTTTCACCGTGTTAGCCAGGATTGTCTCAATCTCCTGACCATGTGATCCGCCCGCCTCGGCCTCCGAAAGTGCTGGGATTACAGGCGTGAGCCACAGCGCCCGGCCTAAAAATGTAGTTTTTAAACCCTTGAGGCTGCCATTCAAAGACCTTGACGAGGTGATTCCTAATAAATCATTCCAGCCTCATCTACTAACTTTTACTTATTCCCCAAGTACTCTATATCCAGCCCAATCACCAGGCCTTTACTTGTGCTGTGGCCCCTACTGCAGCACTATCTTCTCTCTTCTCTCCAGCTCTTTAAAAAAAAAAAAACAGCTCAACTCAGGTTAGACATTTTTTCCAGAAAGTTTTCCCTTTGTAGGATATTTTCAGCCAATGATTTTGATGCCATCTTTTCAACTCTATGGTTATTGAATCTGCTATGCATGCAAAAATTTCAGATAAGACATGCAAACAAGTACAGCCTCTCTTTTTCTTTTCTGTCTCTGTGTCTTTCTGCCATATGTATATGTATGTGTATATATATACACACACACACAAGCACAAGATAGGACTGTTAGCCAAGAAAATTAGGTAAAGTCAAATGGAACCAATTGGCAACTCCACTCCTAGGTATATACCCAAGAAGATAAACAAAAATGTACCTTCACAAAAACTTGTACATGAATATTCATAGCAGCACCATTCATAATAGCCAAAAAGTAGAAAGTGGTGAACCTATAAGTCCATTATCTGATTAATAATAAATAAAATGTAGTATATTTATACAATGACATATTTGGCAATAAGAAGGAATGAAGTACTAATATATACTACAATGTGCATAAATCTTGAAAATATACTAAGTGAAAGAAACCAGTCACAAAGGACCACATATTGTACGATTCCATTTGTATAAAATGTCCAGAGTAGACAAATCTATAAAGACAAAACAACTTAGTGGTTGCTTAGGGGTGGGAGTTCAGGAGAATGGGAGTGTCTGCTAATGGGGATGGGGTTTCTTTTGGAAGTGATAAAAATGTTCTAAAGTTAATTGTGGTGATGATTGGACAGCTCTATAAATATACTAAAAAGCATTAAATTGTACACTTTAAATGAATGAATTGTATGATATGTGAGTTACATCTCAGTAAAGCTGTTAAAAAACAAATACAATGGGCTGGGCGTGGTGGCTCACACCTGTAATCCCAGCACTTTGGGAGGCTGAGGCAGGTGGATCATGAGGTCAGGAAAGCGAGACCATCCTGGCTGATACGGTGAAACCCTGTCTCTACTAAAAATACAAAAAAATTAGCTGGGTGTGGTGGCAGGCACCTGTAATCTCAGCTACTTGGGAGGCTGAGGCAGAGGAATCGCTTGAACCCGGGAGTCAGAGGTTGCCGTGAGCTGAGATGGCGCCACTGCACCATTGTACTCTAGCTTGGGTGACAGAGCAAGACTCCGTCTAAAAACAAACAAAAAAAAATATGAATTAAGATAATCTTTATCCAAAAAAATGGAAATAGAAATTTATCCCAAGGAAAATAATTTATTTTAGAAGTGAGAAAATTTAAAACAGTTTAGTTGTGTTACAGAGAAAATTATGAAATTAAATTTGAATAAAGGAGTTTGCTCCAAAATACTTTCTCTTAAAAATTAATCTGTGGTGGTAAAATTTTGGTGACAAGTTTTGCATTTCAAGTAGTAGCAGATCCAAAATGTTCTGGTTGCCTTCAAACCTCTTTGATCTTCTTGTTCTCAGAATTCCTCTAGTACTCATTGTCTGCATTACTTATTGACAATTAGCTGTGTAACGGATACTTTTTTTTTTTTTAGTATGGAGAAGATGGTTATCTCTATCCCGTGAAGGGTCAGTTGAATTGCCTTCTTAGTAGTATAGATATAATAGCCCTCCTCCCCCCATTCTCCTGGAATTAAGTTTTTATAAAACCTTTTATGTTTTAAGTCATTTGACAAATGTTGCCTCACGCCATGTTTCACAGAGCTGGTAGCTGGGAAGAAGTGAACCAGTTTTACCCAAGGCCTTCCAGAATGGAAGAGAAAGACATCTGATTTGTCTTCCATGAATTTAAGGTCAAGAAGTCTTGTTGAGGAAAGCATGGGGAGAGTCTGGCCACAGCCCAGGAGCTGGAAGAAAGGCCCCTTGAAATAAAATTATTCTGGGGAAGCAGGAGTCTGACTGGAGGCTTAGACAAGGGTCTACGTGTTTTGGTGACACAGTATGTAACTGATACT